CTGCATTAATTATACACACACTACACAAACACACACTCTGCATTAATTATATACCAACTACACAAACACTCACTGTATTCACTATAAACACACTACACAAACACACACTCTGCATTCATTATATACACACTGCACAAACACACACTACACACACACACACACCATGCATCCACTACACAAACATACACACACTGCATTCACTAATCAAATACTCTCACTGCATTCACTACACACACATTTATTCTTGAAAAAAACAAAAAATCTGACTGGCATGTATATTTTGTGCATTTACCGTAATAAAAAAAGATTTGCAAAAAAATAAATAAATAATAAACATGTTCAGTTAACAGTAGATTTGTATATAAATAATTTTCTTTTTTTATATGGTAAATGTACAGAATCTCGGTAAGTTATCGGCTCTCGCCTGAAAGTTCACAGATTATCGGTACCGGCTCAAAAAAAAATTAATATCGGCCGATCCCTAAGTAACACAGCTGCATATACAAATACATCCACAGATAAACAAAGATATATGAAGCTATTCATTTTTACAGGGTTTATTATTTTTCAGCTATTGGCAGCCAAGTAGCCATATTCTCAGCCCCCCTTGGTTTTACTGTAACTTCTGTTTCTGTTCTCAGGTGTTTGGGATCATTTATATTGCTGTAACAATGACCTGAATTCATATGAAACGAGATCTGAGGGGGGAAATCTCTACAACCCCCTCCTTTTTTGCTAGATTAATTTCCCAGCCGCATGTCCCACCCTCCACCCTCCTCCCCACCCCCGAAATCTGTATTCACTTTTATACCCGCATCTCTGCATCCATTTAACTGCCTGTCAGCTATTTCCCTTCCAAAACATCACATACTCTCCCTTTCCCTGCTAGCTATTCAATTCACCAGCTTCCTAATCGACAGTACCTACTGCTGTGTCTGGACTCTGGTCATAAAATCACACAATTTCAAGTTTCAACCTCCTGCCCTCTGTCTACTTGCTCCAGTTTCATATTCTGCCATAGGAGGTTCCTACTAACCTAACTGCCAAACTTTCTTTCCTTTCCATTTTTTTCTTGCTGTTGTTCCAATTTCACCATTCAAACAATATATTTACACTTTCTCAATTCTAAATTTTCCTAGTCTAAGCCTGCACGATGCAAGTCACTGTAGCCCATGGAGCAGCGTAGCTAAGGGGAGTGGGCCTTGACAGAGCTAGGAGGCACGCATATGGAGAGGTGGGTGTTTATTGGTTAGGGGTTGTGGGGGCAGGGCTTCATTTGAAATCAGTTATTAATAATGGCCATTTTAGATTAGGGGCCATTTTAGTTAACCATACTTACCTGTTGATGGGTCATGTTTATCGAAATACCAGTTTTTCCAGGTTTTTGCTTGGGTCTAGGCCAGTGGTTCCCAACCTTTTTTTACTTGAGTACCCCCTGGCCGCCCATTTCCATAAATTGTAACCTGCATATTAGCAAAATATAGTTGATATTATTTCAAACGTATAATTTTTTTTGCTCTTCTTCTGCCCAAGGCTCCCCCTGCTCATTTTCTGCCCCAGGCTCTCCCTGTTTCTCCTATGCACCCGACTCCCCCTGCTCCTCTTCTCCCCAGGCTCCCTCTACTTCTCTTCTGCTCCAAGCTCCCCCTGATCCTCCTTTGCTCCAGGCTCCCTCTCTGCTCCAGGTTCCCCTTGCTTCTCCTCTGCTCCAAGCTCCCCCTGCTTCTTCTCTGCACAAGGTTCCCCCTGCTCATCTTCTTCCCCAGGCTCTCCCTCCTTCCCCTCTTCTATTGCAGGCTCCACCGGTTTCTGCTCTGAACTAGGCTTCCCCTTCTCCTTTCCTCCAGGCTCCCTTTGCTTCCTCTCTGTTCCAGATTCGCTCTTTGCGCCAGGGTCCCCTTGCGTCTCCTCTACACCAGGCCCCTCCTACTTCTCTTCTGCACCAGGCTCCCCCTTCTCACCTTCTGCCCTAGGCTCCCTCTGCTCATCTTCTGCTCCAGGCTCCGTCTGCTTCTCCTCTGCTCCAAACACCCCCTGCTCATCTTCTGCTCCAGGCTCCCTCTGCTTCTCCTCTGCTCCAAGCTCCCCCTCTGCTCCTGGCTCCCTCTTTGCTCCAGGATCCGTCAGCTTCTCCTCTGCTCCAGGCTCCCACTCTGCTACAGGGTCCCCTTGCTCACTTTCTGTACCAAGCTCAACTTGTTTTTCCTCTGCCCAGACTCTCCCTGCTTTTCCTCTGCTCCAAGCTCCATCTGTTCCTCCTCTCTACCAGGATCCCCCTGTTTCTCATCTGCACTAGGACCCTTCTGCTTCTCTGCCCCAGGCTCCCCTTCTTCTCCTCTGCACTAGGCCCCTCCTGCTTCTCCTCTGCCCCAGGCTCTCCCATCTCATCTTCTGCCCCAGGCTCCCACTGTTTCTCCTCTGCACCAGGCTCCCCCTGCTCCACTTCTATCCAAGGCTCCCGTTTCTCCTCTGCACCACGCTCCCCCTTCTCCTCTTCTACCCAAGGACTTCCCTGCTCCTCTTCTACTCCAGGCTCCATCTGCTTCACCTATGCTCCAAGCTCCCTCTGTTCCTCCTCTGCTCAATGCTCCCTCTCTTCTGCAGACTCACTCTCTTCCCCAGGGTCCGCTATCTTCTCCTCAGCACCAGGCTTCCCCTTCTCATCTTCTGTACCAAGCTCCCCTTGTTTTTCTCTGCCCAGGCTCTCCTTGCTTCTCCTCTGCCCTGGGCTCTCCCTGCTTCTCCTCTGCTCCAAGCTCCATCTGTTGCTCATCTGCTCCAGGCTCCCCCTGCTCCTCCTCTGCAACAAGCTCTCTCTCTGCTCCATGATTCCCTTGCTTCTCTTCTGCACAATTCTCCCCCTGCTTATCCACTGCACCAGGCACCCACAGCTTCTACTCTGCTTCAGACTCCTCCTCTGCCCCTGGGTCCCACTGCTCCTTTTCTGTACCAAGCTCCCCCTGTTTCTCGTATGCCCCAGGCTCAACCTGTTCCTCCTCTGCCCCAGATTCCACTTGCTCCATCTCTACCCCAGACTCTACATTCTCCTCCTCTGCCCTAGGGTCCCCCTGCTCACTTTCTGTACCATGCTCCCCTTGTATTTCCTCTGCCCATGCTCTCCCTGTTTCTCCTCTGCTCCAAGCTCCATCTGTTCCTCCTCTGCTCAAGGCTCCCCTTGCTTGACCTCTGCACCAGGCCCCTCCTGCTTCTCCTCTCCACCAGGCCCCTCCTGCTTCTCCTCTCCACCAGGATCCCCCTGTTTCTCCTCTGCACCAGGTTCATCCTACTTCTCCTCTGCCCCAGGTTCCCCTTGCTCCTCCTCTGCCTCAGACGTCCCCTGCTCCTCCTCTGCCCCGGGGCCCCCCTGCTCCTCTTCTTCCACAGGCTCCCCTTGCTCCTCTTCTGCCCCAGGCTCCTCCCCCACTACTATTCTGTAACAGGATCCCCCTACTCCTCCTCTGCTCCATGGTTCCCTTACTCCTCCTCTGCACCAAGCACCCCCTGCTGCTACTTTGCTGCAGGGTCACACTGTTCCTTTTCTGTACCAAGCTCTCCCTGTTTCTCGTATGCCCCAGGCTTAACCATTGCCCCAGGCTCACCCTGTTGCTCCTCTGCCCCAGGCACTCCCTGCACATCATCTGCCCTAGGGTCCACCTGCTCATTTTCTGTACCAAGCTCCCCTTGTTTTTCCTCTGCCCAGGCTCCCCTGTTCCTCTTCTGGTCCTGCTTCTCCATGTTCCCCTAGATAGACATACACACATACACTGATACACCTGCAGATACAGAGAAACAAACGCTGATGGACATACAGATAAAGACACTGACATGCATGCGGATGCAGAGACACATACAAAAAATGACATCCATACAGATACAGACACACAAAATCACACAAAGATACAGATACAAACACTAACACAAAAGCAAACACTGATACCTATGCAGATGCAGGCATACAGATAGAAACAATGACATAAATAGATGTACAGACACGCAGATCCAAACAATGACACACTCACACAAATACAGAGACACACACACATGCAGATACATAGATATACAGATACAAACACTGACACATACAAATACAGACACTCAGATACAAACAGGGACACAGATACAGACACACGTGTAGATACAGACACATAGATACAAACACAGAATCACAGTTGCACAGACACAGATACAGACACACAGAAGCAAACACTGACACATAGATACAAAAACAGACATGCATACAGAAGCACAGACTCACAGTTGCACAGACACGCTGATACAAACACTGACACAGATAAAGACACACAGAAGCAAACACTGACACACATACAGTTGCAGACAGATACACACATACAGATTCACACACTGACACACATATCGATATACATACAGATTCACACACTGACACACATACAGATGTACAGACACTGACATACATGCTGACACACAGATGCAAACACTGACACATATACAGATACAGGCACACAGATACAAATACTGACACATACAAATGTACAGACAGATACACACTGACACGCATACAGATGTACAGACAGACGCACACATGCCAATACACAGACACACAGATGTTAACACTGGTACACATACAGTTGCACAGACAGTGATAGATACACACACATGCAGATACACGTATACAAACACTGGCACAGATACACATACTGACACATACAGGCGTACAGTCAGATACACACATACAGGTGTACAGACACACTTATAAACACACTAAGACACATGCAGATACACACTGACAAATGTACAGATACACATACAGATGTACAGACAGATACACACACTGACACACAAACAGATGTACAGACAGATACACACACACAGATGTACAGATACACACAACACACATACAGATGTACAGACAGATACACACACAGATGTACAGATACAGGTACAGATACACACAGGGAGACGCATACAGATGCACAAACAGATACACACAGCGACACACATACAGATGTACAAACAGACACACACATGCTGATACACAAATACAAACACTGACACACACATTCAGATACAGGCACACAGATACACATACAGATGTACATATGCATACACTGATACAAACAACGACACACACACACACACACAAACACTACATACATACAGGAACAGAAACTCAAAACACACATACAGGTGAACATTTTAGCGACACTCCAGTTTCCTATGGGAGCAGGAGGGTGGCTTCTGCTGGCTGGGGTTGATGGGAGTTCAGAGCTTCCTCCTATTCTGGCAGCAGAAGGGGCGGGGCTACACAATTGGAGGCGGAGCTATTCCTATCAAGGGCTGGGTTATAGCAGTGGAGGTGGGGTTATGACTATGAGGGGGAGGAGTTAACACATTGTGGGCAGGTGGAGGCAGGCACTTAGCGTGCGGTCCCGCGCCCTTTCCCTCACGGCAGAGTCTTTTCATCTGGGAGCGAGTGAGAGGGGGGCGCAGACTTCCTCCCAGCTCTCCAGCAGTACCCAGCAAAGCCTCTCATGGCACATGTCCATCGGGTGGCCATGAGTGCATGGGCCACCTGATGGACATTTACTCAGGTTTCCAACATGTGCCAGGCAGTTGCACCGCCGGCATTACTGATTTTTTTTTTCGCATACCCCCAGGGGCACTGGATTGTACCCCTGGGGGTACGCGTACCACAGGTTGGGAACCGCTGGTCTAGGACGTTAGGGGTTGAATCCATTACATTTTGCCATGCATTCCTTTAGAATTGGGACTGCAACGGAAGCAGCACGGTTGGGGCTAGGGGATGATTTAATAAGACGGATGGGACGTTGGGAGTCTGTCAGGTTCTGGTCATACGTGAAGTAAATAATAACAATTTAAAAATTCTACATTGTGGTTGTTCCGTGTTGGTAACATGTTTCCTTTCTTTCGTAGGATGGGTCGCCTGGTTCTTGGCCAACTCATTTGTTCATTGGGCGCACAAGAGAGCCGCAGTTAGACATCAAGGAGGACAGCTGGGCTTTCCATGGCGCTTGGTCCAATTATTGTGGTTTGGCTAAAAATAGTTTTGGATGGAGGGAAGTGTGTGCGGAGATATTTAGGAGTTTAGGTTCAGAGCATTCCCGGATTTTCTGTTGCTACATGCAGGGGGTAACGATTTGGGTCAGGTACCCCAAAGGGAACTAGCACACTGTATGAAGCGGGACGTAGCTAAGTTGACGGCAATGGTGCCAGGGGTAATTTTAATTTGGTCGGAGATAGTGCCCCGGTTCCATTGGCGTCATGCTAGGGATCCTGTGGCAGTGGCTAAGAGCAGGGGGCAAGTTAATAAGAGGGTTGTCCATTTTCGTTAGATGCACTGGGGGCCTAGATGTGAGGTATGTGGAATTGGAAGCCAGGCTTTCTGGTTATTTTAGTCATGATGGGGCACACCTCTCCGACGTAGGTAACGATTTTCTTAATATAGGTTTTCAGGAAGGCTTGCAACGGGCATTGTATATGTGGCAGTGCGGCACTCAGATAGCATGAGGAGTCAAGCTCTGAGCAGTGGCGGGAGCTGGATAAGATATTGGGGGGTAGGTAGGTTTGGTAGCTGTGATGTTCGGATGATTAGTAACAATATTCACGTGGTTGAATTTGTTCATTGGTAGGTTGCAGCCCGTAGGTGGTTTTCAACCTGGTGGGTTTAGGGGTAACTCGGTATGCCCCTACAATGTTAAATCACTTGGAGTATAAGGCCTGTTGTGGCCGTGTTTTCTGTTATGTTATTCAAATCTGGTATATGGATTATTGTTAGCTTATGTTATCGGTCCTTGCCAGTGGGTATAGTACTGTTAAAGTTGGGGTGAATTATGTGTCTCTGTGAAAATTGGAAATGTTGGCAATAACCAATTTTGTTATTTATATATTTAATTATATATATAATTTATTAAAGCCGTGACAGTTTATTCACTTTAAATTTATGTCTGTGTCTTTTTGGGGGGTTCAAAGGTATGGTTTAATACATTTGCACAAAAGGACGACTATGCGCATGTCATCTAACACGGCTTCCAAACCGCATCTTCCACTATGTACTTCACACTCACAGCCACACTCTCCAGCTTTCATCTTATATTGTCTGCTATCATCCTCCATAACCCTCCCTTTCTCCCCATCTTCCCTCCATAATCTTCTGTGCTACACTCTCATCCTGCCTGTATGCATTACCTATCTACACTTGACCTGTTTGTGGCCATATCTAATCTGTGTGCTACGCTTTTCTACTTTCGATTTGCATTTTCCACTACAGCACGAGCCTTCACTAGCGCATGTGCTCCTCTGTTACTCTTAAAGGAAGGTACCTTAAGCACCACAGCAAACAGTAGTGGTTATAGAGTGCCCAGGATGAAAATGTGAAACTAGCTTAACTTGCCTTGCAGGACCTCGCTGAGGAGTTACGATTCCAGCTGATGTTGCGTTAATCTCCGTCAATGCGCCTGCACCTACATACTCTACAATAGGCATAGAGGAGTCAATGGACCCCAGGTTTGAAATTAAACCATTACTAAACAATTTAACTACTCATATTAGGTACCAGAACACTGCTGGCACTTAACCACTAAAGCTTACTTTAATCTGCTTGTTCCTCATCTAGCAAGTGTCACTATCCTACTCCTAACCTGCATGCTCCTCTTCCTTCCCATGTGCTCAATTCTGCTACACTAAATCTGCAGTTTTCTTTCTACTCCTTATCGCTACCCAGATCCTACCAAGCAACTCTGTGTTTATTTAACATACTTGCAACTTACATTTAGATATAAAAACATGGCAAACCTGGCTTTACACAACCCTATAATGAAGATAAAGAAACTAATGTGGTCACAAAAATCACTGATGCAAACTGCAGTAATATTAAATTCTCCCCAAATATCTAGATTAAAAAAAATACTTATAAACATGCAAATTGTGTTTCCACAGAGGAATATATGGTTATAGCAACTCTAGTCCAAGACTGGTAAGTAAATTACATATTTTGGGAGTGATTTTCATTTTTCTTTATCCAAATCCCACCATGCCTAATAGAAAGACACCCTCTACCTTTCTGGAGTTATCTTCACCTACATGTGTTTATAAACTATTGAAATCCTTCACTCAATATAATGGACAAGCCTTACCCATTCATACTATTCTCAATCTCTTCATTTTTCAACCCCTGACCCCTTCTTCCTTTTTCACTAAGCAACTTAGATCTGTCAAAGATTAAATTTTGAGGATTCCAGGTGTTCCCCCAGCCCAACATTTAACATCACAAGATCTCAGCTGGGGAGCAACACGAATGGAAGAGATTATCCCAAACATATACTCACTCTTTCAAGTCAACTTCTAATTATTATCTTTAGCAACAAACCCAAGGAGACAAAAATTAACCTTTTTCTTGAGATGAAAATCTAATGTAAGATTACATGTTGTAATATTATCTTGATAAGGAAAGATCCTAGAGGCTAGATGATGTGATGAGAAACGCATACAGTCCTCTCCAAAATCATTACAATTCACAGACACAGGAAGGAAAAATTCTAGAATGGACAGTGGAATCTTATCTAGCATCTCAAGTGTGTCAACTGGAAACATTCAAAAGACTTTCAAGAAGCCTTTTCTTTCTTCCATGCGATACAGTACCTTGGCATGCAAACAATTGTTAAACAGATGCTAAGAGCACTTTTTGCTTTCCTGTGTGGTTATATAGTTCAAGAGGCAATCATTTGTGGGAGCAAAGACCATCATACTCAGGGAACAACACATTTCAATCACCAAAATATACAAGAAAATAAATAATTTATATATTAAAAGACACAATTCACAACAATGATATTATAGCATGCACTGCTGTCCCCTCAGAAGTAGCTAAAATATCTCTGCCAAATCTGGGTATTCCCTTTATTTTATGTGAAAGGTTTTAATTTACAGATGCTCCTCACTTGTCGACCGGTTTCCGTTCTCACGACCCGGTCGTAAAACGAATTGGTCGGTAAGTAAGACGCATGCTCACCGGTGCAGGTCTATGTTCATGGAAATTTCAGCGGACACAGACAAGCGCAGCAGAGCAGGGTATCCCTCAAATCTATGTTGGGGGAAAATTCCACAAACATAGACCATCACTCTAACGTGGGGAATCCCTTAAATACCCATGCTGAGAGCTGGTCGTAAGTGTGAGACGTCACAAAAGAGGTAGGTCGCAAAGTGAGGACCACCTGTAATTTATCTCAGATATACTCAACAAACCTTCTGAGAAAGCCATTAGTAAATCCACACAAGCATGTATTCCTAATGCCAGAATGTTATTACAACAATTTAGATTATTTCGCCTTCCCAAAGTAAACAAAAGCACCGTTTTACTTACCTTTATTAGTCTTGGAACCCAGGTCTCGTTGCTGTGACCAGGCATCTACTGACTGAGATCAACAATACAGTTCATTTCAGCCTATCCAATGTTTCTCCATATAGAAAAAGCAATAAGAGTTCTGGCTCCCCTTGGAAGAAATTAGATTATTGTACTATGTAAAATCTCAATCATTTATTAGAACAGTATTAAAATAGTAGTATAACAGCCTACAGTAAAAAACAATTGAATCTTATTGCTAACTGCGTTGTTAGCACATGCATTCTAATGTTTTTCTATGTAGGCTGTACACTACTATTTCAATACCTAGCTAATAAAGAATCCAGATTTTAAATAATACAGTAATCTAATTTCTTCAGGTGAAAGCTAAAACTCTTTTTTCTGTTTTCTTTGGAATATACAGTGAATGGTCCATTCACGTGGCAAACTACTTTGTCTTGCAACATTTCCTACGCTTAAAGGACCACTATAGGCACCAAGACCACTTCAGCTTAATGAGGTGGTCTGGGTGCCTGGTACAGCTAGGTTTAACCCCTTAAGGACCAAGCTTCTGGAATGAAATGGAATCATGACGTGTCAGACATGTCATGTGTCCTTAAAGGGTTAACCCTTTTTTCTATAAACATAGCAATTTCAGAGAAACTGCTATGTTTACATTAGGGTTAATCCAGCCTCTAGTGGCTGTCTCATAGACAGCCACTAGAGGCATTTGCGTGCTTCTCACTGTGAAAATCACAATGAGAAGACACCAGCGTCCATAGGAAAGCATTGTGAATGCTTTCCTATGGACTGGCTGAATGTACGCGCGGCTCCTGCCGCGCATGCCCATTCAGCCGAAGAGGAGGCAGAGAGGAGGAGGAGAGCTCCCCGCCAGGCGCTGGAGAAAGAGGTAAGTTTAACCCCTTCCTCCCCCTAGA